TACATCCTACTTACTGTGCTATTTACCGCAATTCCTCTGTAATTTTCACACTGATCCTTGCTGCCTTTTTTTGTGAATAGTTGACATGATAGATTATTTCCATTCTTTTGGTAATTCGGCCTCATTCAAGCAGTCTTGAAAGGGTTTTCTTAACTGTTCCTGAAGTTTGTCTGTACCGGCTTTCACTAATTCTGCAGGGATGTCACCAGGACCAGGTGATTTTCCATTTTTCAGGGATTTGGTTATTTCTTCCATCTCTGATTTACTTATTTGTAATAGTGATGTATACCTATCCTATACCTTACGTAAACCTATCGTGTTGTCTTCCATGTTAGTAAATTCTGGTCTTTGTTCTGTTAGTAATTTTTTGAAATATTCTTCCCATTTTTCTGTTGGGAAATTTCCCAATATTTCCCATACAATTTAAAGGATATAGATGGAAATGATCTTGGAAATTTTCATGTCAGGGATATCAAATTAGATGTCACTGATTCTAGTGACGATGAAAATCAGTAATGCATATTAAAAATATATCTTTTGAGTAAAACTTGCAGTTATACTATTATATCTTACCTTTAAGTGTAATTTAAACTTGCATATATCTTGTATTGCATATATTTTAAATTATCTTCTTATCTCTTTTGTTAAGCTTATACATATTTTTTATTACCTGCGTTAACAAATATCTTCGTTATTTATGGACTTTTCAATAAAATATTTCGTTATGAGAACCTTTGCTAGAAAATTTATCTACTATCTTTCACAAGTTTGATTGTTATTTACTTTTCTTTATCTTCGTTTAATAACACATTATCTATTACCTTTGCAAGTTAGCTACTTGTATTACCTTTATAGTGTTATTAAAACTGTTGCGGTAATAACTTATGTCTAATTTTCATACCTAGTGCAAGTGTCTTGTTTTTCCGTTGAATGGGTTCAAATATGAGATTTGTTCGAGCAAGCACATAAAAATTGCCTAGGATGATTTATCTTCGCGGGACTTGAGGTCACTGCAGGAAAACTATTAACAAGGGCGTTAATATTTTCCATTTACTCATTAGGGGTGTGGCGTTAGGCATAATTCTTTATCTTTTGGAGTGAAAGTAATCTTATGCATATATCTTCTTTTAATAGAAACCTCTGGTGTAAGATTATGAAGCTTTGAAGTTTTTGATTACATTTGAATTGTCTTTAACATTTTAAATACATACGTCTATATTTATGCAGTTCTAGTTCTATTTCTTTTGTGTAGATCCCTGGATAGTGTTTAGTGTTATAACAATTTTAAATGATATTACCACAACTTGTCTTATCTTTGCTTTGTATTTTCCTTTATCATAAGTAAGCCAAATTTTATGCAGTATCTTTAATGTCTTTTGTGTAGAACCTTGACTTACTAGGTATTGTGAAGAATATACTTATCTTTATCTAACAATCAAAATTACTTGTGTTACTTAATTATCTTGATATTTACCTACCTTTAATTTTTGATACTATTTGGTACAAAAATTACTTTATCTTATACTAGCTTAATGTTAATTTGCTGTTTTATTGACTTGCCTTAGTCCATAAATATGCATATGCAATATGCCGAGAATTCATTCTCATTATCTTATCTTTAATAAACAATGTAATTGTTTCCAGACCATACTGTCTATTGAAGTTTAGTAATAATAAGTTTCTCTGATTTAGTTCACAATGATTGCCCTCATCAATGCATAACTATAATGGATTTTCTTTTTCTTGAGTGTTATATTTTAATGAAATTTTTTTTTTCGCATTTGCAAGGTAGATTTAACCTTATGCATACTACTATTTAGAAATCTGGTGTAGGGTTGTGTCTCTTTGAAATGACAATGGAAAGGTTTTGTTTTTTATACCCTCTTGTATAACTTTGCTCTATACAATTTTTCTGTATAGATTACTTTATTATTCCAACAGGTGCATAACGTTTGGATATAAATCAAAGTATATTTATGACTAATTTTTCTTCTTCAGTTCAACTGAGCATAATTTTGCGCAGTTTTCTTTTCATCTTGTGTAAATTTTATACTTAGTAGATGTCTAGATTGGTCTTACTAAATTTTTACTTATTTCTTTTATATTTTGACGTTTACCTTATCTTTCTTAACTGCTTATAATGTTCTACTCATACTATCTCATGCAATATATGCAACTAAAATCTAGATTAGTATTATGATAACTAATATTTGGACTTATATACCTACTGCATTACTGATGATTATGATATCTTATCTTTTATAACTTAATGATTATATGCATATCTAGTGATATTGCTAATATCATAATTACCTATACTTAAAATTAGCTTCCCTTAAGAACTAACATTCTTGAAAGAATGTCTTTCTAACGATGTTTATCTACATGAATGATAGATACATCGCCCCCATATTAGTTGTTGTTGTATGATATATATGTAATTACATATATATGGGACCGAACTATGGTGGAGATGTACATTTATACCACTGGATCTTCCTTTAATGGTAAGGTTGTCTTTAGGGTATGGCGTCGGGGGGTTCATAGTACACAGGACTGTCGTCTCTGAGGAGCGCTTTCGAGGTTTAACCATGGATTATGGGCTACTGCGTTCATACCAACATGATTTCAATCGACCCAGTGTATAATCGATGTACAGTACCAAAGGTTGCGGATAACCCTTAACGTAGCTTTTCTCCCTCTTGGTCTACGACCAATTTTAGTGTGACGAATACTACAATTCGTTGGGATAAAATATTTCCCTGAGTATTAACTCTAAAGCCTTGTAAGGAATTGCTATAAGATATAGCATAGGATTATTTACCTTACAATTTTAGTGTGACGAATACTATAATTCGTTGGGGATGAAATAATACCCAGAGTTCTCACTCTAAAGTCATTTAGTGTATATAGTATTACAATACTGTAATACATAGTTTATAATTATGTAGTTAAAATTTTAGTTTAACGGATACTATAATTCGTTGGGTGATAGTCATTTATTTTTTTGACTTAGGTTAATATAAGTATATTAATTTTTATATCTTATCACAAGTTAACCATTTTCACTTTATTTTGTTTAAATAATAGTATCTAAACTTACAAGTTATTATACCTATATCTAGGTATCTAAATAACTTTATTATTTGGTAAAGATTACCTTTATTATTATTTTGATGATCATAACATATAATGAGTTTAGTAATGAGAAAAATTTCTCAAGGTACTTTCGAAATTTTTCTACCGGGTGGTGGAAGTGTGTAGCGTTATAACTGCTACATTGCCTGCTTTCTTTCTTATGTTAATATATTTCGTTAATTCTATTCTCCAATTTCCGTATCTTCTGTCATAATTCATATTCTTCTATATCCTCCATTGTATCTCTTATTTTTCTATATATTTTCTAGGATATAGATTGTATGAGAATTATGTCGTTACTTAATTGATTCATTATTCTCTTTTCATTTTTACTGGTATTTGGTATAAAAACCAGTTGGCGTCCAAATCTATCTTCTTTATATATATATATTTTAGTATCTACCTTTCCTATTTTCTTAATAATCATCATTTTTATCTTTTACTCAAGTTTCTAAAGAGTGAATTTTATTTTCATCTCTATTTCCGTTACTTTGGAACGAGAGGTCCCATCTTTATTCTTTCGACATTTCTCCTTCCCATTCGATACAAAAGTCGATATAAAGACTTCTATTTTCTAAAAATGTCGATTTTCTTCATGACTTCTCTAAGAGTAGAATAACCAATTGTTGTGTCGTCTCCAGATTTGGAGTCAACCTCCGGGATACATTTCTCAGGTGCGGGTCAAATTCTATTACCATCCAGAAGACCAACCGGCCTGAGAATGGAACCATTATTCCAATAGGAGAGTTGACTCCGAGACAAGGAAATCCAAAACTACCAACATGGCTTGCTAACAACCAGAGCAGAAAAGACTAGGATAAAACTTAGGATTTGGTGACAAAAATTGTTCTTTCATATACCTAATGTAACACTGTAGCAAGAAGTCGAATAATTTTTATTTAAATTCAATACGATATTTAACATTTATTTTTCTGTTTTTTTTTTATATTTCAATAAACATGTGTTAATTTAACTGTGTATTGTTTCTTCTTTTTACTTGTTTGTGTATGTTGCTCCAGAGTAGGCCATATTCACGTCCTGAGTGAGCTAGCCAGGGAGTGTTTCGTATAACGTCTAATGTAGCAATTTTGTAATTGATGCATTAGGGGTTATGACGGTAAAAATTGGTCCCAACGGGAAACGATTTGTCACTCCAACGTTGTCAGTGATGTTAGTCAGGTTGTAGCAGCAAACTAAGGTTTGCGGTTACAGGTTGACAACAGCAGCTCAACGTTGGGATGTTACAAATTGAGCCTCGAAGGGTTACAAATTGGCACCCAATGAATATTTGTTGGCACGTCATAGATTGACGTCCAATGAATGTTCGTTGGAACGTTACACTTGTGCTTCTTTGTAAATTGTTTGGCATTTCCGACGTTTATCTCTAATTTCCTTCTCTATTTCTTCATCCCACCAGTACGGTTTTATTCCTTTATGGTTTTCGTCACATTTCCCCAGTGCTTCTGCTGCTAAATGAATCGACGTTTTGATGTGTTCGTAGTGTTCTTCAGTATTTTCAAAACTACCCAAAAATTAGAAATTTTTTGGTCTAATCGTTTTTTATACAGTAGCTTTACACTCTCATGGTTTAACTGTCTAGGTTGTACCGTACTTGTTGCAATTGTTCATTGCAATATACTCGTTCCTAATATTTTTAATAAGTGAAAATCCACTGATCTAATATAGAATAACTTATAATTTTAAAACAAATTGAACTATTGTATATATCTTGTAATTATAAAATGAATTGAACTATATCGAAGTTATGAAAACTAATTCTTGTTGTTAAATTGATAAAACTAGACCCAATTTTGCCTGTTTATGTCACGAATGAACTTTTGATGTAATGGTATCGTACCCAGCGTGGGGCAACAGGAGGCGAAATGCCCGTCGGCAGCCTAACGGGCACTTATCGTTCCCTGACCGGTTCAAATGCTGTTTACCGGTCCACGACGATGGTGCCGACCGGCGCCGGGCCGCAGCCGCCGGGTCAGTCCGGCTCTGGCGGCCTCGGCCTACTAGATGGGTTCAAGAAAGCTTTTAGCTTTGTTTCCGGAACCTACAACAACGCCGAGCCTGATGGAAGGGAAGAGAGACTTCTTGGAGATGGAAGTGGACAAAGGACGAGCGTTGCTAGCAGCAGGTAAGTTTTTCATATTATTTTTTTGGTGAAGGCTTCTGGGGAAATTCGTGTGTGTTTAGCAAACATGTAAAAATAAGAGATCTCTTACAATGTTACATTTGATTTTAAAAATACGTTATACGATAATATATGTATCAATTTTAGATTGTATTATTCTAATTTTTATTCACAATATTGTCTTGACAACTTTTTTCAAGTTGAGCAAACTTGATTTGCTGTTTCTATTTCTGTTTGCCATCTTATTCAAACTTATTTTCTACTACACGTATAGGAGAATCTTTATTCTTATCCTTTGTTCTTATCTATGCCATTGCAGTGATCTTTCGTGCTATCAAAAATTATTGCTGAATAGAATAATTGTAGATGCTGCACTTGAGTGATAAAACTACTGTAATTCTGTACTACTGTTTTTGAAGGTTCTGAAATATATCTAAGGGATACCTAATAACAAATATTCGAAACATATTTGGATTTCATCGGTGGTCTTAGGCTTTCCATCTTTTTATTTACCTGTGTCAATCTGGCATTGAGTTCTCATTCTTCCTGATCCTTTCCTTCTATAATAACCCCTAGATACTTAAAATGGTTCATTCTCTCGAAATTATGTTCGCATGTTTCAATAAACATGAAAGTAAACTGTCCCTCTTCTTTTTGCTCTGTATTTCCGAGTATCATGCACTTTGACTTTTCCTGGTCTATTTCTAGGTCAAAATATGCTTTCTTTTCTAATCCTTTTATAACATGTCTCAATAATTTTCTTGTTTTCGTTTGAATATTAAGATCATCAGCGAAGGCCAGACATTGATGTTCATTGTTGAAGACGGGTTCAGTCGTTTTACCTCAGCTATTTCTGATTATTGTTTCCAATACCAAATTAAAAACCACCGAGGATAACGGATCTCCTTGCATAAAAACTTCTGTTTGCCTAAACTCATGAGATAGGAATCCTCTCCATCTTCTTCTTCTTCTTCAGCCTGTGTTCGTCCACTGCTGGACATAGGCCTCTTCCATTTGCTTCCATCGATTTCTACTTTTGGCAATTCTCATCCACTGCTTGCCCGCGACTTGTTTGATATCGTCTGACCACCTCTTCTGCGGTCTGCCTACTCCTCGCCTCTCTTGGTCTCCAGTTTGTTAATCTTTGTGTCCATTTTTCGGGATTATCTCGGGCAACGTGTCCGATCCATTGCCACTTGAGCCTTGCAATACGTTCTGAGACATCAGTAATTTTTGTTCTTTCACGAATGACGTTATTTCGAATCCTGTCTCTCAAACTTATCCCTAGCATGGCCCTCTCCATTGCTCTTTGGGTTGTACTGAGCTGCTCTAAGGTTTTTTTTGTGAATGCCATGGTCTCCAGTTCATATGTAGTTACAGGCAAGATACATTTGTCATAAACTCTACGTTTTAGACACATTGGTATATCTTTATTCTTCAAAATAAAGCTTAATTTACCGAAAGCTCCCCAGACAGTTGTATGCGTCTTTTTATTTCGGCTATTTGATTTTCTTTGCCGATTTTAATGGTATGTCCAAGATATATATAGTGGTCTACATTTTCAAGACTGACGTTGTCAATAATAAGATTAGTTTGTAAATTACTCATTATTTTTGTTTTCTGAAGGTTCATTTTGAGACCTATTTTATTTGACTGCTGGTTCCGTCAACATTTGCTCCAGTTCCTTTATATCTGTACTAAATAATACTATGTCATCCGCAAGCCTCAAATGACTCAAACGTACACCATCAATGTTTAGACCTTTTTTTTTTCTATCCATACTACTTTCTACCATACTTTAGATCCTCTCCATATTACATGATTTCTTGTGCTACTCACAGTCATTCGTACTAACCTAACCAGTGCGGGTATGACCAAGGAGCTCACTCCTTCATACACTTTATTCCTTCTTTTCCTATCATACCTGTTAGGTTATTAGAATAGAGCCATATCCTATTTTAGTATGGAGGCCGGGCGATGCCGGCTGGGTGGCTAAGATCATCACGTAACTAAACCCCGCCATCCGAAAACCGGCCCAATCCTGCTGGCTGGTCCTCCTCGTTCAAATCCGGAAAGTAACAGACCAGCAGCGTATGGCCCTTTTTGGCCTGAAGTTTGGCTAGATTTAATCTAGCCTCTATCGCGGGCTTGTGGAAAAATTAGCCAGATAACCAATAAGGCTTATCGATAAAAAGTGTAAAATAGTATAAAAATATATAAAGTAGTAAGATAGGACATGCACAGACATAAAGGACAACACAAACATCTACGTAGTTAATAGTTAAGAATCCTAATTAGACGAATGTAGGTCCCACGATAGGAAGAAGCCGATATGATAATACTGGAAAATAAAGTGCTCATAAGTCATTTATGTTAGGACCTCATAAAATGACTATGAATATGGATACTACCCTGAATTGTCTTTGTGATAAAATGGCGGACGTCCAACCTTGAAAGGTTAAAAATTCTCATAACACGAGAATTCGACCATGTTCCACGAGCTCGCACGATTAAAGGTGCCATGCAAATCTGTTTCCCTGGATGTCGGGTCTGCATGGTCTGAATTGAGGCTCTGTGTACAGCGCTGTTGTATTAACAGCGGCTATACTAAGGGGTTCAGGACCCTCCCAGCTGACACCAACGTCCACAACAATTACCCGCTCACCCAGATGCGCGACAAGGTCAGGTGTCCATCGATTCTTTTCGGCTGCTTTGCGTAAATACGTAACGAGCTGATCGTGTCTTTTGATGCGGTGCCAATGCGATGCGGGACACTTCTGCAGAACGTGACTAAGGCTCTCGTTACGTTCGCATCCATTTCGACACCTCCGTTCATGTGGTAGATTTGAAGGGACGCCTCTAGTTGGTAGTAGATTTCCTCGTAGCTGGATTGCCTTGACAAAATCTCTCCCCGACCAGTAGGGCGGTGGATTGCTTATCCAGGCTGAGCTCTCTGAGTGTGAAGAGCCTTGGCGAAGTCCGTTTGCACTATATATTTGTTTGTGTTCATAGCAGGTAGTCTCGATTTCTTTTAGTGTAAAAATCTGATCTATTCTAACTCTAAAACCGGCCTGATACTCACCTAATTTACATTTAGCAAATCTGTTTGTTGAGTCTTAGTCTTAGCATCCTGGTTAATATCTTGTAACGAGTACAACAACTGCCATGTAATTTTCACATGCCGTATTGTATATGGGGCATAGTAAAGCTTTGGTTTAACCTTTGGGCATATTTTCCTCTTTTCATATCCTCTTAATAAGGCTATAGATTCTTTTTTGTGGTACTTTTCCTCCATTCTTTAGCATTTCCGTAGCTAGTTCGTTTTCTCTTTTATTATTTTTTTTTCTTGTTCCTATAATTTTTCATCTGCAGGTTTTAATGAAAATTTCTTCTATTGTTGATCTGATATTTTTCTGGTGTCCATGTATATAGTGCAGTAGCTTTAAAGCTCTATAGTTTGTACATTGTTAAATATCTCCTTTGTTTTTATATACAGATACTAAAGCCGGGTCCAGACCAAGCAGACAAAACAAAAACATTCATGTTTCGCGACAAAGTGGCGACAAATCGAAAACATTTGTTGAGACATTTCTGAAACAATTTTGTTTTGTTTGCAGATTTGAAAACTTTTTCAGGTCCCGTCTCAGGTCGGTAAAGATCAAAAGGTCTGTGTTTTGTCTGTGTTTTTGACGACAAGTTGTCGACGCAGTGTGGACGCGTGTGCGTGCCAAAACAAGTTAAGCAGTAGGAGAAATAGAATGTACAATTTTTATCAAAATCAAGTGTATTTTTCTGTTGTGTAGTGATTAAATAAATACTAGTGTATTTTTCTAAACATGTCGGGGGACAAAAAGTGGAATACACAAAATACATGCAAGTTAATAGAACTTTACAGGGAGCATCCGATATTATGGGACCCTAAAAATAAAGATTATAAAAATCGCTACAAGAAAGCCGATGCATTAAAGGAAATTTCTTTATCGCTAAATGTGCCACTAAATGATGTTGAAAAGAAAATAAAGAATGTTAACAACCAGTATGCTAGAGAAAGACGACGTTTGGGTTTTCGTTTAGCAACCTGGGATGATGATGAGAGCAAAAAAAACAACTTGCGGCTAGCAATAAATCTTCAGTTTCATTTTTTTCTTGATTAAAACGCCACATGGTTAACCAACACTAATCACAACAACAACGTCACCAACTGAATTTTGTTTTTATATTTTGTTGTTCTGGTGTGGACAGTTTGTCTCAATTTTGTTTTGTCTTTTGACGACAAATTTTGTCGTCGGTTTATCGTGTTTTTGTTTCAGAATTGTGTTTTCGTTTTGTCTGCTTGGTCTGGACCCGGCATTAGATACTGCTTTTCCATCGTCTAGCCTGTATGTCATTTAACTTATTTTTGGAGTGCTTTGACAACTGTCCTGTTTGTTATTTTCTCAACACTCTTTATGCAGATTAATTATACCTTTTTCCAGACACAGTTCATTGCCACTCTTTATACAGCTTTCTCATATCTTTTTTTCTTGGGTTTAGTTAGATCACCATCAGATATCTTTATATTTAAACTTCTCTCCTAAGCTTTTTCCAAGTATTTTAATAGTAGTTTCTCTAATAATACAACTTATTATACATGTTCCAGCTAATTTTTTCTACTATTTTTATTCTGGATAAACCTTATCCACCACTCAAATTAACATAAATGGTGTTTTGTAGATCCCATTTAGGATGATAGTAATATCTAAAAAGTCTGTATTGTCCTGTTCTAGCGTACTAAAAAATCACATTATGCTCGTTAAAGTTGCCCATTAGGATAAGAAATAAATGAGTTTCCGTTGAAAAATATTTGTTTTTTTAGTATCATCGTCGTATATCTCGTTGTGTGACATGGTTATCTGTAAATTTCGTAATTATTGCCTCGCTTTTCGTAAACACTTTCTTTTAAGAGGACTGTTCATTACCTGTAACTTATCTTTAAGTATCAATATACGCATAAGAATAATTCT